CATGGAAAGGAGGAAGCAGGGCTGGCTGGGATCCAGGGGACAGAGCAGCAGCAGAGGATGTAGGCAGTGGGGAAGGTGGGAAGAGCTGCTGGGGAGGGCGGCTTCTTGGAGAGGGAGGAGGGCTCACCTTTTGTAGACCACCTTGAGGTCCCGCCACTCAAGGAAGCTGCACATCTTGGGCTTGCGGGCCAGCACCACCTGCATGAGCTCCCGCACCATCTTCTTCTTCTCCTTATCTGAGGTGGCCAGATACCACTTCTGCAGCCGCAGTTTCCCCTGCCGGCTGAATAGCAGCATGAACCGCATCTGCCATGGGAGGGACTGGCTCAGTGAAGGGTTTGAACCCATCCCTGGCCTGTGCCCCTACTTTCCCCACTGTGCCACAAGCAGCTAAACAGCCAGAGTCAGGGGCAGCAAGGGCCAGAGACTCGTAAGTGACAGCTGGTGCCACTGGAAGCCCCTAATCCAAGCAGAGGGGTGTGCCTGGGAGCAGAGCTCCCCATGGGGCCCATCCCCTAACCCCAAGCCACTCCTTCCCACCCAGGCTGCAGCACCAGCAGGGCATGGCCGTGGCATACGTGCCCAGACAGACACGGGCTGGGGCTACCCAGTATAACAGCAGTGAGCCCAGGTCTGGGATAGGTGGAGACAGGGAACACAGGGAATTTGGGTGAGGGGTAACTAGGAAGCTTGAGAGTGGGGCCTGGGAGTAAGGGCTCCTGGGCTCTGTCCCTTTCAGACCCTAGCACTGTCTGTCCCAAATGGGGGTGAGAGCCACTTTTGGGGGTCACCCTGATGGACCAGATGTCCCTTCCCCCCATGCAGTCAGATCCCATGGGATTCCCCAAACCAGGCTCACTGCCCCTGCAAGGTGTGAGCACCTACCCTGCCTACAGGTACATGGCCTGACCCCTGCTAATTACACTAATGACAACTGGCACAGCCTGAGCCCCAGAGGAGTTAACAAGGAGGCATGGAGCACAGCAGGCCTAGGATCCAGTGCCAGCATAGGGAGCTGGAAGAAGATGCCAGTGTTTGAGCTGGACCTGACCTGTCCTGGTCACCACTGTTAGTCATGCAACTCGCTGAAACAAACCTGCTAGGCCTGTTTTCTGGGGCAGGCTCCCCACCCCAGTGACCCTATGCAGCCCACTTCTCCAGATCACAATGGCTCCTGCTTTTAAATGGGCTCTGACCCTGAAACCCTGCCAATGAGTGCAAGCAATGCTTCTGCAGTACAGGTGCTGTCTACACTAAGGACTGCAACACTATAGCCCCATCGCAGCAGTTCAGCTATCCTGGCCGCTCACACACACACACACCCTGAAATGGGCAATGCAGGTTCTAGCTCCACCTGGGGCTGCTCCGGAGTTTGACTCTCTTCCTCGTCACATCTGCACCATCACATGAGACTCATGCATCAACACAGCATCGCACATGCCACCCCAATGCCTGCCATGCAAAATGCACAGCTCCTGACACATGGCATTCAGGTCCAGTCTACCCCAAGGGCTGCCACAGGGCATAAAACCATCTCCCAGTAGAATCACAAGCTGCCTTCACACACAGTAGCTCAGGTACTGGCATTCCCCTGCATGCACTACACCAGGCCTGGGGGTGCATGGGCCTCATCATATGCTGGGGCAGGAGCAGCCTTGTCCCTCATGGTTACAAACATGGATGTCAGGTGCAGCCCCTAGTGCGTTGCCTCAACTCAGGGGTTCAGTCGCACTCACCAGCCTGCCTCTGGCGTGCGGATGCTGTCCACACTAGGAGTGGCAACAGTGAGAAGCCTTGTCCCAGATAGGAGCCATCTAGTGGCTGTGTCAAGACCAAGGGCAGGGGGGCAGCTGTTCAAAAGGCAGCGTGTTTGGCAGATACACCCCAACCCCCACTTCTGGGAGTGGGACTGAGCTGC